CAGAGAAGCTGGCCTGGAAGAGGAGCAACGGGACAGAATCCGGCACCCCAACGGAGACTAGAACCTGGGGTGCCGGTGCCGCAGACGGAGGATTAGCCTAGTGAGCCGCAGGCACCGGCCGGCTCTCCTCTTTTCTTTTTTCTTTAGGATTTACTATGTGCCAAGCACTCTTCTAAGCCCTTTAGGTATGCCAACTCTTTTAAATCTACATCATAAGCCTTTGAGGTGAATATCATCATTACATTGCTTCCACAAATGAGGAACCTGAGGCACAGACAAGTTGAGTAATTTTCTCAAGAACACACAGCTCGTAAGTGTCAGTCCTTGAACTTGGGCAGTCTGACATGAGCCTGAGCCTTTTGGTAAGCCTGTATTTGCTACAGGGACTAAGAGAAGCAATGTATACCATTACACACATAGGAAGAAAGATCATTGTGATTTCTCCAGAGTTTCTCAAGCTTGAATTTTATACTACATATGCTTTGTCTTAAAGAGATTTCACATTTACCCCTGAGAATGGATGAGTTTATTGGTCCAGAGAAAATGCAGCCCGACTGGGAAGGAGAGAACAAGCCAGGAGGCGGAACGCCTGGGGTCTCAACCTCTACTGCTTCATCTAGGTTGCCTCCGGTTTAGACACCTACACCACAGGGCGCACAGGCTGTGACGGATGTGACCTAACAGTGCTTTGGGATGGAAATCCTATTAACAAGAAAAACAAGTTCCTGAACAACAGGTGAGGCTCAGGCAGTGTTACTTTTGGAGGAATTCAAATAGAGCATTTTTCTACTTCTTTGTAAAAGTGAGGCACCAAATCATTATGAACCGGAGGTATTTAGTTTTCCTCCTGATACTGAATTCATTTCTCAAGTCCCCTCAGTCCAATGTCATCTATTTTATATTTTGAATGACCATGTAATTCTTATATATTTTACAGGTATTCTCTATTTTTATAGTAATTCTTGCTTATGGTAGAGATATAGGGAATTCAGACATTTAAATATATAAAGTTGCATATTATAGACCATCTCAATTTTCAAAGTTCTCTTCTAAAACATTATTTTTAATGTCTATGACACTTTGCAGTAGGATATACTTTAATTAAATAGGTCCCATTTTCAGTATTTCTATTGATACCAATTGTTTCCTACTGTAAGTAACAACAAGACACCTGCTGGCTCCCTCATGCTGTGCGAGGGTCCTGTTCTCCTACAGGCAAGGGGCCCTCTGACTACTATGACAGTACCTGCCTGGCAGCTTCCTGGAATGCAGATTCTGGGCCCTAACCCAGGGGTTCTGACACAGTCTGGGAAGGGGCCTGGGCAGGTAGCTCTTTTTCAGAAACTGGTTTTACCTTCCTTGTGAGAATTCTCTCTCTCTCTCTTTCTCTCTCTCTCTCTCTCTCTCTCACACACACACACACACACACACTGGGTTGTCATCTTCATACCACTTCCAAACCTCTACAAAAGGAGCTGACTTAAAAGTGTCCGTTTCAAACTGGCCCTGGCAAGTGGAGTTGCTTCTTTTCAACACAGCCATTTTACTAACTTAGGGGACCGCACCATCTCTGCACTGAGACTTTGCCACACTCTCACCCCACCCCTACCCCTTCCCCTACCCCCAACTCATTCCACCCCACCACTGATGCAGGCCCCACACCGCTGCCAGGGGCAGGTTTTATCCTGAAGTTCAATCACAGTGTTTCCCTGCTTCTCCCAAAGCATCCTTCAGCCAACCACAGGCCCTCTGGTTTGCCTGGCGCAGTACTCCCTCTCTAACCCTCCTGGCCTGCTCACCAAATGTCACTTCCTCAAAGAGGCCTTCCACGATGCCCTGGTCTAAGTCACATCCTCCTACCCGAACTCGTCTCACTCCCTTTCCTTTTCTTTCACGGCACATCATCATCTGCAAAGGCAGGGATTATTAGACTGAAATCCACCTCCCAAATTTGACCACAAGCTCTATGGGACGGGTACCAAGTCTTACTGTCCACCTCTAATGCCTGGCACCAAACTCCGCCCTGAGCAGTGCCAGCGAGGGGCAGTGCCCTAGGTAGTGAAGAACGTGGGCTCTAGGACCAGGAGCTCAGATTCAAATCCCAGCTCTGCAACTTACCAGCAAGTTGCTTAACTTCTCTGTGCCTCCATTGTTGATCATAACAAAACTACTTTATATACATTTGTTGTGATGATTGAAAGAAACTATAGATAAGGATGTAATATAATGGCTGGCATGTAGAATGCACCCAATACAGGAGAGCTTTTGAAAAGTGGACACTCGGTATATTTTCGTTAAATAAAACACAACACAACAGTGTTTTAGGTGTCTTTTCTCACCATCCTTCCCCACTATAAACACACAACCAATCCATCAGCCCACTCAACTTCTCCCTGCAGCCTACCCTTGCAAATAGTTCCACGTCTACCCTGAGAAGTTCGCTGAATCCACTCCCCACTGCATATTAGTTCCAGCTTTGATCCTTTCATCACATCACTTTGTAAAATATGTGCTCATGTGCCAAGTCACCTCTCTTCCTTCCTTCAAGTATTTCCTGAAACATAACCTCCTCGGAGGAGCCGCCTTTAACTGGAGCTGAACTCATCATTCTGTCCTCTGTTTCCAACAAATAAGTGAAAGGTCATCGTTTGAGGTTCCAGAGCTGTAAATCGTCTCAGCTTTTCACGGGCTGCCCGGGTCTGAGCATGCCAGGGCTGGCTGGCCTCCCCTCTGCCTGCCTTGAAGAATGTGAGCCTAGGAGGGCGACGTGTGTGTTTAACTTGCTCTGTGGACATTCAGCACAAGGCCGATCCACATGGAGGCTGAAGAAAGGCCATTTGATGATGATTTACTCACTTTGTCCATGCCAGGAATTGAAACCATGAGCTCTTCAATCTGTTTGCCCCATGTTACAAGACACTTTGATACTGACTTTATTATGGGACTGGTTTTCTGCATTTACTTTTCTCTCTCTCTCTCTCTCTCTCTCTCTCTCTCTCTCTCTCGTGCACACACATACACACACACACACAGGGAGCGAGGGAGGAATGGCATGAATATATCAAATTAATAAAGGGATTTCCACATTGTGAGTTCAAAGACACCTGAAGAAAGCATTTGGCATCAGAAGGGACCTCATTGAAAGTCCAGCGGCAAGTACTTGTTGTATTCGGCGCATGTGCCATTACGGAGAACTTACACTCAGAACAAAAAGATTTGTAGCAAAGCATATGACCTTCTTCCCACCACAATGACCATCCCCTAATTAGGCAATGCATCTGATAGTCATTAACAGGAATGAGATAATGAATCACTTTCTCTCTTCTTTGTTAATTTGCTGTAACCAAGCGGCTAATGGATGTCAGAGCTGAGTGATTGCACTGATTATAGTGATTTATAGTTGCAACAAAACAATTTAAAACCATTCTGATTATTCATGTTAAAGATGCTTTATGTTTTGTTTACTAAATGTTTTATGTCCCCGTCTCCCTCACCCTCACTGTAGGACCATCCTCCTCCTACCCTACCACTTTTCACAAAAAGACCCTTTCCTGGAAAACTTGCGGGTTGTAGGCTTTGTGGGTTTGGTTTGGTTTTAAACTGAGCCATTTCCCTGTGTTGATGGAGATGCATAAAGTTTACCCACGAGAAACAAAAAGCCTTCGGGGTGGAAAGAAGACTTCAGTGGTGCCTAGTTCAAAAGCAGGCGGAAATAAGAGGAAATAAGGCAAACTTCAAGCCACTTACCTTGGGGCTTCCTGTGCCTCCCTCATCCTCCACAGACACATCAGTAGCCAGGATCTCGGCTTTGATGGCATCCAGAGCCCGCAGAATCCAGCTGTGCTGCCGTCTGATTTGCCTCTGCAGCTCCTTCCACTGACTGGCGATCATCCGCAGCATATCCTTCAGGCCTTCTCCAAAAGGAGGGGAAAGCACAGGTTGTGGACTCGACTGCATCTCTGCCTGCTGCCGCTGGCTTAATTTTTTTTTAATTTAGTAAGTGAGGTGGCTATTTCAAACAATGCGCATATTTTTAAATGACCTTTACCATCACCTGCCTTATTAGCGTTTGTCGCTCAGAGACTGGCAATTCATGATACAAGGCATAAGGGCACAAAAATGAGATTGCCACACAGATGCCTGGTTTGGAAAATGACCTAATGTATTCATGGAAAAAGACACACGTGGGACAAAAATCAACACGTATGAAGTTCCGAACACTTGAGCTCCACATCCCGAGTTAGAGGCCCTGGGGTTTTCTGGGTAGAGACCGTATAGTGCTCAGAAAGATGGACAGGAATAGGTGAAGTCAGCTCAGTGAGAAATACAGGCAACAGGCCGGCATGAAGAGAGCAGTTTCAACAGTAGCACATCCGATCACTGCAGTTGTTTTCTTCTTCAGCTGCAGTAACCTCAAAGTCAGAGTCTGATTGTGCCTCCTCCTAACAGACTTCTGCTCTCAGAGTAACCAAATAACAAAACTATTTTGTTTATACTCTATGCTTCATAAAAACATAAATACTGAGATGAGAATCGTTGAAAACCAAAAAAAAAAAAAAGTCTGCTAATGCAAAAATCAGCAAAGAACATGAGAAATGCTCATGTGTGTGAATTGGCAGGGAGACCATCAGACATCTCCAGAATGCCTGCATTATATCTGTAATGTTAGCTACAAGTACCCTAATGCATATGCATTATAACTATGTGCTCAATTCTCATTCATTATTGTAAAGTTATTTCCAGAGCACCTACATCAAAAAGCATGTCAATATGAAGTTTTCAGGAATGTGATTTCAATTGAAACTCAGGTGAACAGCAAGCCCAAAATAAAATGAACAGACCATTTGGAGGCAGTATTTCATCTGCTAAGTATCACAGCATTGTATGCAGTATATGAAACATTTATAAATCCTGAAGGTCAATCTGATAATGTAAATATTAATAATACATAAGGAAGTGAATATATGCAGTAATTTACAGCAATGCTTCTTCATTCTTAATAGTCTGGAGACATAAAGACTTGCAATATTTCAGGAGGATTTACCTGCTTTGTGGGATGCAATGAGCTCGAGAAGTTGGTGTCCTTCCTCCTCCACGGCTTCCTTGAGAGCACAGTGACTGTCTACGTTCAACTTAAAGCTCTGCAAGGGAAAAAATATGAGCATCAAACCCCGGCAAGGCAGTCACATAAAAAATATCCATACAAAATCACCTGCTGCCTCTTTTTTTTTTTTAATCAAAAACCACACAGGCCAATTTACCCATAGACAAACTAATTGGTAGTGCTAAAAGCTATTGATATTTGGGATCTGGGCTCAAAATGTTCCCATTCGATTAGCAGAGTGCATCTGTTTGGAAACAGCTGACAAATTGAGAAATTCATTAGGCTTTTATGAAGAGTCACATCCCGTAGGCTATACCAAGAGTAGCAGTGTTCTATAAAATACACTGAATTTCCACCAGCCCATATGAGCACTTTTCTTCACTTTTAGAAATGTTAGTGATAGCACTATTTATGAAGCCATAAAAATTGGCAGCATAAAATATATTAGCTTTATGTGCACATATATAAATCCGTTCATACAGTAGTGCTTCATTCAGCTCTGTTTCTCAGCCTTCACACAAACCACACAATATGGAAGTGGGTTTAGGTGCTTTACTGAGGAACCAAATGCTTTTGAAATCCTTACTTTTTATAAGTTTGTTCCTTAAAAAGTGACACTGCTTTACAAATGAATACATCAAGCACTAAGCACATCAGGGTCATTTTTCTCTCATGATAGTCATTCAGAAGACAAAAACTGGGGCCGGCATTGTGACAGAGCAGGTTAAGTCCCAACCTGTGACGCCAGCATCCCGTGTGAACACTGGTTCAAGGCCTGGCTGCTCCACTTCTGATCCAGCTCTCTGCTAATGAGCCTGGGAAATCAGTGGAAGACGGCCCACATACTTGGAGCCCTATACCCATGTGGGAGACCCAAATGGAGTTCCAGTTTCCTGGCTTCAGCCATTCTGGGGGTGAACCAGTGGATGGATGGCCTCTCTAACTCTGCTTTTCAAATAAATACTTTAAAAAAGAAGACAAAAACTGCTATCGTGGTTGAATACCACCTAGGAGCCCTGTCTTCCAGGCAGGCTTCTCTAAAGTCTCACGGGCAGTGAGCCACTCCCTTCCCTTTGCTCCTTTAGAATTTATCAGACTGTTCACTGTCGCATTCTATCCCTGGCCACCAAATTGAAGAATTACCGGTTTCACATTTATCTCCATCTCATGTCACATACAAGGTGTTTGATAAATGTTTGCAGGAACAGTGGATATCTGTTGAACTTGATCAATAACATTCTCTGAAGGGGTAGGTTTTAATTTAAATATTTCAAGAAACACATATGGTATTTCAAAGATATTTCCACCTCTGGAATGCTACAAGGCATTCCAAACACTGGCAGTCTGATGCAGAGTGATCACCGTCATAGTAACCAATACATTGAATCAATGGTTAGTCTTCAAGATGCAAATTCATTCCTTGACTAAGTGAAACAAGCATAGATTTAGAAATACTGCTTGCCAAACTTTAGCTCCACCATGATAGGGCTCCAAAATATACAGCATGCTTTGCTGTCATTCATTGAGTATTAGTCATATACACTGCACTGTACTTGATGCTAAGAATGTTTGACAGAAGTTAGAAATGGTACAGACCCAGTTGGAATGAAATTAGGCATTCGTCCATTCACTTAGAAACCATGTGCTTTGCCTATTATGTTCATCCAGCTGGGTAACAGAGACTGGGGGGTGGGGGTGGGAAGCATGGTCTCTGGCATTATAGGGTTAACTGCACAAGAGCCACAGCTCCAACTGTCACAAGGAGAACAAAATGCAGCGTGAGTCATCCCGGACATCCACTGGTGAGTCTGGGCTGGGCTCTCCTTTTCTTAGAGGAGAAAAGGGGTCTTTCTCAGAAGACAGAAATAGAATTATCAAAAGAACACAGAGGCCGGCGCCGTGGCTCACTAGGCTAATCCTCCGCCTTGCAGCGCCGGCACACCGGGTTCTAGTCCCAGTCGGGGCTCTGGATTCTGTCCCGGTTGCCCCTCTTCCAGGCCAGCTCTCTGCTGTGGCCAGGGAGTGCAGTGGAGGATGGCCCAAGTGCTTGGGCCCTGCACCCGCATGGGAGACCAGGAGAAGCACCTGGCTCCTGCCTTCGGATCAGCGAGGTGCGCTGGCCGCAGCAGCCACTGGGGGGTGAACCAACGGAAAAGGAGGACCTTTTTCTCTGTCTCTCTCTCTCTCTCACTGTCCACTCTGCCTGTCAAAAAAAAGAATAAGAGATACATAGAAAATGAAAGATGCAAATTGGGCTTTGAGGTATGAAGATAAGAATTTTGACTAAATAAAACCCAAAACTGACCCCAAAATGAAGAATAATTTAATCTGACTCCAGGCATAAAATACAGGGATATATGAAAGAAGGTGATAATACCAAGTTTCCCCAAGGGTTGTTCACCATTTCTTGTATTATTCTCTTTTAGCTACAGATAATTGATTAAATAAAACAAACTAAAGCAATGCTTCTGAACAACCCAAACAATAAATGAAATTAAAAAATCGAACATTTATTTTTATTTTAGAGGGAGAGAGCAAGAAAGGGGAGAGAGAGAGAAAAAGAAAGAGCTCCCACACTCTGACTCACTCCCTAAATGCCCACAACATCCGGAACTGGACGAGGCTGCAGCCAGGAGCCGGGAACTCAATCCAGGTATCCTACATGGGTGACATGGATTCAACCCCTCAGTTCATCACCTGCTGTTCCCAGAATGTGCATTAGCAGGAAGCTAGAATCCAGAGAGGAGCCAGAACTGAACCCAGGTACTCTAACATAGGTTTCCTAACAAGCTTCTCTTAATCACTAAGCCAAATGTCACCCCAACATTTATTATTTTATAGTCAAAGCACAGCTGCTTTTTGTGACTGCTGTAGAAATTCTTCACTCTGAAAGGATGCCACACAGACTGAAATACGTGTGTATTTCAGGACGAAGCGACATGGAAAAGAGAAACACTGGCAGTCAACCTGACGGCACCAACACTTACAAAGAAATCTATTCTAGAAATTTCCTCATAGTTGTCAATATAGCCTAGTGCTCTATTTGATTCCCTGTTTACTCACAACAGACTTGTGTTGAATGGTTGGAAATCATGAGCCTCAAAAGAGGTGCATCAGGCCTTTCCAAGTGTCAGAGCAAAAAAGAACCTAAGGACCGTTAAGTAGGCCGGGTAATCTGACAGCATTGAAACCAGGAGTACAGAACAGATGCAGCTGGAACTGGCTCTGCCTTGAGATGATGTGGAAACATTTGATTAGGAAATTGGAAAATATGAGGTATTCATTATCACGCAAAAAATAATCTGATAAGCTTGCTGCTGTAGAAAAGAATCATTTAACATAACTATTACCTAAATGGGACAATATTGCTTGATTTTCAGGTGCACCCATTACCCATTAATAACATCAACTAAGGAATTCACAATGGGCCTCTGAGAAGGCAGCCAAGCGGGCACATTAACAAAATCGTCAATGAGATGTCTGGCTGCTAAAGGATTCTGTAATACGCATTCCCCATTTTGTTCCCACCTCTTCCCTGGAGAAGTAAGCTTATACAAAAGGGGTTTAGTCTTTTTTTTATCTTTCCTTAAATTTGATACTTGGACACATTTCCATTCTTGTGCTACTAACACACTTTGTCAACAGTGCCTGATGGTTCATAATCCCGATGCAACATCCATAGCACTCCCTCAAAATGCAGGGCGTTCTCTGGACACCAAATTTATGGCAAGAACATTGCCACAGGCAGATACCGTGGCCTATGTCACCGATCATGTGACATTCCATAAACATGAGCAATCTGGGCCCGGGGAACACCGGATCTTTTTGAAAGCAGTGTGGAACTAAATGACTAGAAGAGAATAATTTCAGAGATGGAAAAATACAAGGACTAATATAAAGCACTAGATTATCAAAAAGATGACACATCTGGATTTGACCAGTGGGCATTTCCATGACTACAACTGCTGGCATCAGCAGAGATCTGCATGTGTTACTTCTCGGCCAGACCCAAATTCAGACACGCTCACTGATTTTCCGTCATCATAATCAGACTTCACAAAGCAAATAAAATAATACATCTAACTCTGTTCCAGCTACATTTCTAAGTAGCCCAGTTTGACAGTAGTATGAAGGCCATGTGGACATGAAAAGAATCCAAAGACATGCATGCCTTGATGAAAATAAAACAATAGGAAGGATGATAATTCATGAGCAACCACCAGTATTCACAGATATGGATCCCCTGGTATAGGAAATCTGGGGAAGAGCGTAACGAAATTCAATAGTTGGAAATATCTAAAGTGGGTGAGTCTTAGCAGCATCAAGTCACGAACACAGACTTCTAACCACTACATGAAATATTCTGTTGGGGGCCACTTAGTTCCATGATTCATGTGATGTTTGTGAATAGTCAGAGAGGCCTAAAATACTTCCTGAGACTTTCCTGACCTAATTTTAGTTTCTTAAAGGTGCAAATTCATAAAACAAATATTTATTGAGCAGTCTCTGCCAGGCTTATTGAAATAAAAGTTAACAATACACAATCCTGGTTGTCAAACAACTGATAGTCTATTGGATGAATGAGATAAGAAAACAAGTAGCTTTATATGTTCCAGAAAAGATAAATGTGTAATTAGGGTTTGGTACATAACACAGAGTGGCGGGGCCGGAAGTAAACTCGGTACTGATATGCTTTCCCCAGTGAGATTCAAGTTTTGCTGTGTTTTGTTTTTAATGAAACTGTTATGCTGCATTCCATATGGGTGTGATAAGTGCTAGATAGGTACTGTGGGGACCCATGCTGGGATCCAGGCTCAGCACAGCCTAGCAAGGAGTTTGCAGAGAAAGAATTGATTTGTTCACTGGGATAAAGACACTTAGTGTAGCTTGAAGCTGGGAGCCATGAGCAGCACAGTGTGACTGGGGTAGGGTGCAAGGGGGCAGTGTGGCAGGGGCCAGGTGAACAGCTGTTGCTAAACAGAATTTGACCCCAAAACCATGAAAGAGTCATGGGAGAAGATGCCACGGCGATTTGAG